AGAAATGGCCATGACATGGGACCTTTAAGTAAAAGTCCTGTATTCAAAATGTTACTCAATTAAAAGTAAAAAAGTATGGGCATGCAAATATAGTTAAAGAACCAAAAATAAAAGTAGTCATTGTGCAGATTGGTCCATTTCAGAATAATATATATGATATGTTTTATAATGATTGATCATTAAAGTGTTCTCAAAGCTGGTAAAGGGTGCAGCTAGTTTGAATGACTGTGTCTACTGCAGGGTAGCTTGTGAATTTACTACAGGTGGAACTAAAGTCTGATTAAGTGTTATAAATAGTGTTTATCATTAATCTAGTCACTTGTGGAGTAAAAGTACACCCATTTACCTTTGGAGTGGAGTAGAAGTACAACATAACATGGAAATACTCAAGTACAGTAAATGTTTTTACATCATGTATGAGGGTTTTCAGTCTGGCTATAAGTATGGTTTTATTGTCTCGTGCTTTTACATTAGTTTATTTTTGTCCTATCGGTTTTGTCTAAATGTATTTATGCTGCTTTTTTATATATTTATTGATGTACAGCACTTTGGTCAACTCTGTTGTTTTTAAATGTGCTATAAAGTTGGATTGGTTGAATTGGAAGTAAAGTACAAGTAGGCTACCTCAACATTGTAAGTACAGTAATTGAGTTAATGTACATAGTTACTTAACACCACTGTCAACAGCATTTAATTATTTTCATAGTTAGAAATATAGTAATTAACAAAAAATATGTGATAGAAAATGCAACCTCAACAATTTTATATATCTATATATTGTTTTCTGTGCGTCGAATCTGCCGATATGTTTTAAAACCCTGCACCAATAGTAGCGAAAGTGCTGCACAGACGCCGTTTCTGCGTTTACATATCCCCACAGATTTCATCATCTCCTCTCTTGTTACTGAGGTCCATGCTTCGCAGAACATCAGAACTGCTGAGGACCAGCACCGAGATCTCCTCCTTCTCCTCCCTGTGGTCAAAGACTCGGTCCGGAAAACAACAACAGACCGTTTTCTGTGTCTCTGTGCCTGTTTAAGAGGAACAAGAAGAGAAAGTCATTGGCTGCAGGAAGGACGACCATGGACGGAAACATGGAGCAGATTCTCGCCCCTTTGAGGCTGGCTGTCAAAGAACAGGTAACAAAGACATCCATAATGACTTAAAACTGACGTGGTTTATGTTTGTTTAGGGTTAGATAGTTTTGTATTACCTCTGCAGGGTGACAGCTAGGGTGTTAGCATGCAAGCTAACCGGCTAACCGGACCGGTTCCTTTTTTTAATTTTTTAATTTTAATTTCCTTTTATTTATTTAATTTAAACGATTTTTTGATTTGATTTTTTCTTATTTTTTGATTTTATTAGATGTTTTTTTTACTTCACCGGTTCCTCATGAAGCTGTCAATGAAAGAGCCATTAGCTAAATGCTAACACTAGTCGGCAGTAATGTCTGCACCCCTTTGCCACGTTTCAATGAGCTGCTGCAGATATCTGTGAGCAGGGTGGGGTTTAAAGAAGAAGTTCATGCTGCTAAAAAAAAAAAAAGATTTTATTGCTATTAAACATGCCCAAACCAGAGGTAAAAAGCAGTCTAAAGCCCCTCTCTGTTTTTAGGGGGAACTGGTGCGTCAAATGAAACAGGATGGAGCTCCTGATGTGGATGTTACTAAAGCTGTGGCTGAACTGAAGGCGAGGAAGAGGGCTTTTGAAGCCAAGGTGAGTCTAGTTCAACTGTATGTGATGCAATACATTAAGTATTAATTACCTTTGTCTACAATTATCTGCCAAGCCTTGCATCTGTTCTGAGGAATAGGACTGTAAAACACTTGCCAGCTCTCCACTTAATAACCAGGCTGTGCTGCAAATATGATGCACTTTAATTAAAATATGGGGAGTGTGTGCCAACTTTTTTTGTTCATTTTTAACCTACTATTGTGACAAGCAGACTGGGAATTGGGCGCTTGCTGGAGATGCAGGTGTTTGACACATCATGGTAGATATTATTATCAGATGCATTCAATCTGGTTGTAACACATCTGGTGTCAAAGCTATTCAAAGCTGATATGCAACATACTAATATAAACCTGCATTTTCAATTCCCGGATATCCAAAAATGTATCCTGGTCATCAAACAGCTCTATCTTAAACGCACACTGTTATAACCTATGTGAGTCTTCCCTCACAGGAGCTATTGTGGCTTGTTCGCTGATTTTAAAATGGTGTTTTTGTCATCATAAGATGTGTATCATGTCCTCTTGTTGGTGTTAAACATGTTTTGGTTATCACTTAATCAATGATAATGCTGCCTTGTGGTTCCTAGAGTCAGGTGTCAGTGCTGAACTGTGGGGTTTCTGCCCCTCATGCAGCTTTCCATAGCCCGGTTGCGGATACAATGTTTTGGACAAGCAACTTATTTTATCATGTCTTGATGCGTTTCTTTCCTGGGACCAAATTTGCTGACTATGAGGTGTCAAGAATGGAGTAAATATCCTTCTCATTGCAGGAACTGTCATTACAACCCAAAGATGACATCGTTGACAGAACCAAGATGGAGGACACCCTCAAGAGGAGATTCTTCTACGACCAGGCCTTTGCCATCTATGGAGGTAAGACTTTGAGAGCTAGTGTTAAAGGTCTCCTATTATACTGTTTTTCATCAGTATATTATAGGTCTCAGATATATACAGAACCTGTCTCTGATTGGCTGAAACACCAAACAGATCATTGCAGCATCCCATAATCCCCTCTGTTTCAGCCCTGTTTCCAAAGTGCTGATTCTCTGTCTGTTACTTTAGATGAAAATAAGGAGCCCCTCCCCACGCCCCTCTGAGAGAGATTTGGTTACAAAGAACACATGGTGCTCTAGGAGGAGATTCAGGTGATAGGGTGGGGGGGGGGGTTACCTTGGTTGCTGATTGGCTAATGGTACACAAGACAAAACATCGTTATGACATCACAAAGTGGCTAAAATCTGATCAGCTCATTTCAGACAAGGTTTTATAGAAATGGATCAGGACAAAAAGAGAGAGAATCTTTGTTCCTGAAACTTCAGAGTCTCTTTCCACAGAGGGGGCACACATGTTGATGAAGAAGAGACATGAAGAAGAGGGACACATGTTGATGTAGAAGAGACTGAAGAAGAGGGGACACAATGTGGATGTAGAAAGAGACATGGAGAAGAGGGGACACATGTTTGATGTAAGAAGAGACATGAAGAAGAGGGGAGACACATGTTGATGTAGAAGAGACATGAAGAAGAGGGGACACATTGTGATGAAGAGAGACATGAAGAAGAGGGGACACATGGTGATGAAGAAGAGACATGAAGAAGAGGGGACACATGTGATGTAGAAGAGACATGTTGAGTGTAGAAGAGACATTGATAGAAGAGGGGACACATGGTTGATGAAGAAGAGACATGAAGAAGAGGGGGACACATGTTGATGTAGAGAGGACATGAGAGAGGGGGACAATGTTGATGTAGAAGAGACTATGCAAGAAGAGGGGGACACATGTTGATGTAGAAGAGACATGAAGAAGAGGGGACACATGTGATGGTTAGAAGAGACATGAGAAGAGGGGACACATGTTGATGTTAGAAGAGACATGGAGAAGAGGGGACACATGTTGATGTAGAAGAGACATGAAGAAGAGGGGACACAGTGTGATTAGAAGAGACATGAAGAAGAGGGACACGTGTTGATGTAGAAGAGCCTGAAGAAGAGGGGACACATGTTGATGTAGAAGAGACATGAAGAAGAGGGGACACATGTTGATGTAGAAGAGACATGAAGAAGAGGGGACACGTGTTATGTAGAGGACATGGAGAAGAGGGGACAACGTGTTGATGTAGAAGAGACATGGAGAAGAGGGGACACGTGTTGATGTAGAAGAGACATGAAGAAGAGGGGACACGTGTTGATGTAGAAGAGACATGAAGAAGAGGGGACACGTGTGTGATGTGAAGAGACATGAAGAAGAGGGGGACACGTGTTGATGTAGAAGAGACATGAAGAAGAGGGGACACGTGTTGATGTAGAAGAGACATAGAAGAAGAGGGGACACGTGTTGATGTAGAAGAGACATGAAGAAGAGGGGACCGTGTTGATGTAGAAGACACATGAAGAAGAGGGGGACACGTGTTGATGTAGAAGAGACATGGAGAAGAGGGGACACGGGTTTGATGTAGGAAGAGACTGAAGAAGAGGGGACACGTGTTGATGTAGAAGAGACATGAAGAAGAGGGGACACGTGTTGATGTAGAAGAGACATGAGAAGAGGGGACACGTGTTATGATAGAAGAGACATGAAGAAGAGGGGACACGTGTTGATGTAGAAGAGACATGAAGAAGAGGGGGACACGTGTTGATGTAGAAGAGACATGAAGAAGAGGGGACACGTGTTGATGTAGAGAGAGACATGAAGAAGAGGTGACACGTGTTGATGTAGAAGAGACATGAAGAAGAGGGGACACGTGTTGATGTAGAAGAGACATGAAGACGAGGGGACACGGTTGATGTAGAAGAGACATGAAGAAGATGGGACACATGTTGATGTAGAAGAGACTGAAGAAAGAGGGGGACACGTGTTGATGTAGAAGAGACATGAAGAAGAGGGGACACATGTTGATGTAGAAGAGACATGAAGAAGTGGGATTTTGCATAATAGGTGACCTTTAGATAAAACAAAGGGTTAGATGGGCAGGTAAAATCACCGTACAAGAGTCTTTAAGCCCTCTCTTACCATGCAGGTATTGCCCCTCAGGTGTGAGCGGCCTGTATGACTTCGGCCCTGTCGGCTGCGCCCTGAAGAACAACATCCTGCAGGTGTGGAGGCAGCACTTCATCCAGGAGGAGCAGATCCTGGAGATCGACTGCACCATGCTCACCCCCGAGACCGTCCTCAAGTAGGTGACCTTCAACACGTCTCCCCTATCAGATCATGGCTTCTATGGGTACAGTCATTGTTATTTCTAATGAATAATTAATGAGGATAATGCCGCCTTGTGGTTCCTAGAGTCGGCTTCAAAGTGCTGAACTGTGGGTTTTTGTAAACAGGCGCACAAATGATCCTGTGATTTTATGCATGGAAGCTGACAATATAGCACCTTTATAGCCCGGTTGCAGAAACAATTATTTTATAGTATTTTATTTTAGTATTAAAGAAGCCTTATTATGCTTTTTCCTTTCCTAAAGTGTGTTTATATAGGTTTTGTGCATGTAGATGGTCTGCAAAGGAATAAATCCCCAGTTTCTCCGGCTCTATTGGACTCCTTTTTACTTCCTGAACATAGTGACAAAACTAAGTAACACTCACGCTCCTATGGCTAGGCGCTCCAATATATACAGTCTATGGCTCCAACACATTGTATGTGATAGGCTAAGGGGCGGGACATCTCTAAGTGGTTGACCAAACAGAACCATCCAGCTAACCAATCAGAGCAGACTGGGCTCTAGTTTCAGACAGAGGGTGAAAAGAGGTGCTGCAGCACAGGCAGTATGAGAAAAATAAAGAGCTTTTTGAACATTAAAAGCATGGAGACATGTAGAGACAATACATACTGATATACCCCTGAACATCAGCAGGAGAGGACTCTTAAAGTAGAGACACTACATACTGATATACACCCTGAACATCAGCAGGAGAGACTCTTTAAAGTAGAGACACTACATACTGATATACACCTGAACATCAGCAGAGAGGACTCTTTAAAGTAGAGACACTACATACTGATATACAACCTGAACATCAGCAGGAGAGGACTCTTTAAAGTAGAGACACTACATACTGAATATACACCTGAACATCAGCAGGAGAGGACTCTTTAAAGTAGAGACACTACATACTGATATAACACCTGAACATCAGCAGAGAGGACTCTTTAAAGTAGAGACACTACATACTGATATACACCTGAACATCAGCAGGAGAGGACTCTTTAAAGTAGAGACACTACATACTGATATACACCTGGACATCAGCAGGAGAGAACTCTTTAAAGTAGAGACACTACATACTGATATACACCTGAACATCAGCAGGAGAGGAACTCTTTAAAGTAGAGACACTACATACTGATATACACCTGAACATCAGCAGGAGAGGACTCTTTAAAGTAGAGACACTACATACTGATATACACCTGAACATCAGCAAGGAGAGGACTCTTTAAAGTAGAGACACTACATACTGATATAACACCTGAACATCAGCAGGAGAGGACTCTTTAAAGTAGAGGACACTACATACTGATATACACCTGAACATCAGCAGGAGAGGACTCTTTAAAAGTAGAGACACTACATACTGATATACACCTGAAACATCAGCAGGAGAGGACTCTTTAAAGTAGAGACACTACATACTGATATACACCTGAACATCAGCAGGAGAGGACTCTTTAAAGTAGAGACACTACATACTGATATACACCTGAACATCAGCAGGAGAGGACTCTTTAAAGTAGAGACACTACATACTGATATACACCTGAACATCAGCAGGAGAGGACTCTTTAAAAGTAGAGACACTACATACTGATATACACCTGAACATCAGCAGAGAGAGGACTCTTTAAAGTAGAGACACTACATACTGATATACACCTGAACATCAGCAGGAGAGGACTCTTTAAAGTAGAGACACTACATACTGATATACACCTGAACATCAGCAGGAGAGGGACTCTTTAAAGTAGAGACACTACATACTGATATACAACCTGAACATCAGCAGGAGGGACTCTTTAAAAGTAGAGACACTACATACTGATATACACCTGAACATCAGCAGAGAGGACTCTTTAAAGTAGAGACACTACATACTGATATACACCTGAACATCAGCAGGAGAGGACTCTTTAAAGTAGAGACACTACATACTGATATACACCTGAACATCAGCAGGAGAGGACTCTTTAAAGTAGAGACACTACATACTGATATACACCTGAACATCAGCAGGAGAGGACTCTTTAAAGTAGAGACACTACATACTGATATACAACCTGAACATCAGCAGGAGAGGACTCTTTAAAGTAGAGACACTACATACTGATATACACCTGAAAAAAGAGGAAAATATGTAATATTTAACAATATAATGATTACAGTATGATCTAATATTTATTCTCCTAATTTTAGGACATCAGGACATGTGGACAAATTTGCTGACTACATGGTGAAAGACGTGAAGAATGGCGAGTGCTTCAGGGCCGACCACCTCCTCAAAGGTAAGCCTTTTGTACATCCTGTGTGTATTTAGTGACTTACACTAAACTAAAGATTAGTCATCCTAAACACAGCAGGGGTCTTTGTAGGTTTTTCATGTGGATTATTCATGGGGTGTGCAGAGTGAGGGGGGGGATGGACGCGATCCAAGCTTGTGCTGTCAGTGGCTGCTGCTGGTTGGGAAAGCTCTGAGTATCACTGTGGTGCCTGAGGGAGAATGGAAGTGGCTGGAAACAGGCAGAAAATCACACAGCTTTCATAGCAGTGTGAGCTGGGACCACAGAGACTGGAGCTGTGCCAAAAAAGCCAGAAGGAATAATGTGAGATACAGGAAGAACGTGTCATTTCCTTGAAGGCTAATTGGCTCCGATGACATAATTCATGAAAATGTTATTTAATGAAAGTATGTCATGTTATTTATTATCTGAGATATGGAAAGTGTGCTTAACATGTATGTTTAGTGTCCTTTTGTAACACCTTACCAATACTATGTTTGGATATTGTCATGCCAATTAAAGCTCTTTTGAATTTGAAAGTGATATCTTTTCAGTTTCGAGACCATTTTCACACTTCTCAGGATTAATTTCTTCCATTTGATTTGTATAGTCTGTTTAGCATTGTCCCACGTTTGTAAGAGTATTGATTTCATGTCTCTCTGTGTCCGACAGCCCACCTCCAGAAGCTGATGTCCGATAAGAAGTGCTCAGCAGTTAAGAAGGCTGAGATGGAGGAAGTCACCACTCAGGTCCGTTGTAACCGAGACAAAATGCTCTTTAGTGGAACAGCTGCTTCTGATAGTTTTTAATAATTCCCTTTCTCGCCTATTTCTGTTCCAGATGGACAACTACACCCAGCAGGAGCTCACCGACCTCTTTGTGAAATACAACGTGAAGTCTCCCATCTCAGGAAATGACCTCACAGCTCCCACCCTTTTCAACCTGATGTTCCAGACGTCCATCGGACCAGGAGGGAACATGACGGGGGTAAAAATAAAACACAATACAGCGGAGAATGTAGTCTTTGGTGCTGCATGTGTATCATAAATAACCCAGACATGTGCCTGATCATCAAACACAACTCCGTTTTAACCCCACACAGTGCTTTTGTTCTCTGATATAAATGTGTTTTTGTCATCATAAGAAGTGTATCATGTCGATCATTTGGTGTTTTTTCATTGTATATTTATTTGAGGGAAATTAAAACAGGCGCACATTGATTCTGTGATTTGAATGCATTGATTCTGCCCCTCATGCAGCTTTCCATAGCCCGGATACAATGTTTTGGAAACGCAACCGTATTTGTCATGTCTTGATAAGCTTCTTTCCTAAGACATGTGGACCAATTAGCTGACTATGTGCTGATTGATTTGACGTGACCTCTGCAGCTATCTGAGGGCCTGAAACCGCTCAGGGAATCTTCCTCAACTTCAAGCGTCTGGCTGGAGTTCACCAGGGAAAACTTCCCTTCGCTGCTGCTCAAATAGGAAACTCCTTCAGGAACGAGATCTCTCTCCTCGCTCTGGACTCATCCGTGTCAGGTGAGAGATCCACCAACACCTACTATTTGATCTGTATTCAATGACTCGTGGTGTTAAACAGGAATATAATCACACAGGCCATAAGACTGTTAAACACCTGAACTCTGAAAGGACATCCATAACATTCATCTGTTTGCAACTTATATATATCAATATTCCAATTACTTGTATATAGACTGCACTATTTCTATTATATTCAATTTCATTTACTTGCACTATTATCTGTTTTATTATGTTGGAGGAGATTTTCATTGTCGTAACTACACTGTAGCTATGCACACATGACAATAAAAGCCTTGAAACTTGAATCTTGACTCCACGTTTCCTCACAGAGAGTTCACCATGGCTGAGATCGAGCACTTTGTGGATCCAAGTGAGAAAATCCACCCCAAATTCTCCAATGTAGCCGACCTGGACCTCACGCTCTACTCCTCCAAGGCTCAGACCAGCGGACAGTCTGCAAGATCATGAGGCTGGGGGACGCTGTGGAGGCAGGTGGGAGTCACTAACATAAGCCTTTTAAGGTCACTCTGCAACACATTAACTGATTTGATTGGATTTCTGGTATTTATTGTTCATACTACTGTGTTCCATGCTCCGTGTTGAGATTTCTTTTAAAGGTCACCTATTATGCAAAATCCACGTTCACATATCTCTTCTACATCAACACGTGTCCCCTCTTCTTCATGTCTCTTCTACATCAACGGACGTGTCCCCCCTCTTCTTCATGTCTCTTCTACAATCACACGTGTCCCCTCTTCTTCATGTCTCTTCTACATCAACACGTGTCCCCTCTTCTTCATGTCTCTTCTACATCAACACGTGTCCCCTCTTCTTCATGTCTCTTCTACATCAACACGTGTCCCCATCTTCTTCATGTCTCTTCTACATCAACACGTGTCCCCTCTTCTTCATGTCTCTTCTACATCAACACGTGTCCCCTCTTCTTCATGTCTCTTCTACATCAACATGGTGTCCCCTCTTCTTCATGTCTCTTCTACATCAACATGTGTCCCCTCTTTTTCATGTCTCTTCTACATCAACATGTGTCCCCTCTTCTTCATGTCTCTTCTACATCAACATGTGTCCCCTCTTCTTCATGTCTCTTCTACATCAACATGGTGTCCCCTCTTCTTCATGTCTCTTCTTCATCAACATGTGTCCCCCTCTTCTCCATGTCTCTTCTTCATCAACATGTGTCCCCTCTGTGGAAAGAGACTCTGAAAGTTTCAGGAACAAAGATTCTCTCTCTTTTTGTCCTGATCCATTTCTATAAAAACCTGTCTGAAAATGAGCTGATCAGATTTTGGCCACTTTGTGATGTCATAACGATTTTTGGCTTGAGTAGCCAATCACCAACCAAGGTAT